CACCAAAAAATGGAAGAAACATAAAGTTTACTATCAAGTTATATTATTGAAAGACGACGAGGAAGAATCATCCGAGTCTGATCTTTCAGTCATAATTAAGAAAAAAATTACTGCCATTAGAGAGGGTTTAAATGAAATGATTAAAATAGTAAAAGAGAAAACAAATTTCAAAGAAGGAGATTTATTAAATATAGTAGTCAATCACAAAGAGCTTTGGAATCCTATTTCCACGGGGTTATCAAGAACTACTGAAATTGATAATTTATTAAACAATATTCAAAGTATCTTAACTTCAAATCAAGATTTAGATATATACCGTTGTACATTTTATGCTGAAGTAGTTAATATGCCTAGAGGTGCTACTAATGCAAACAGAATTTTAAATATAGCAGAAGACTCGCGAACGAAGAGAAGTATAATACAAATAAAAAACAAAGATAATTTATGTTGTCCAAGAGCTGTTATTGTTGGATTAACTTATCATACAAATATTATACTCGGTAAAGAATATGATCATAATGATATAAGATACATAAGAATGGGAAGAAATTTACAAACTACTTTAGCTCAAGAACTATGTAATCAACTTGGTGAATATAACAGAAATTATTTTACTTTAGATGATATTACGAATATAGAAAGATTATTAAATATTCAAATAAAAATCGTAGCAGCAGATTGTTTTAATTCTATAATATATTCAGGGGTTGAAAAAGATGTAAAAGTTTATTTATATAAAAATGGAAATCATTTTGATACAATCAAAAGTATGACAGGTTTCTATGGTGAGTCTTATTATTGTGAAAAATGTGATAAACCATATCAAAATAAAGACGGACATAAATGCAAAAAAGGAGTTAAAAACTGTCTAATGTGTTTTAAACCTAATCACAAAGAAGACTCAGCGAAAAGAATATATTGTGAAAAATGCAATAGATATTGTTTTAATCCAGAATGTTTATCAAATCATTCAGAAGTTTGTGAAAGATTTTACAAATGCTTAAATTGTAATAAGATACTCGAAAGAGTTGAAAAAACGAATGACGAAGGTAAAAAAATTATTGAAGAAGGAAATAAAATGATTGAAGAAGGAAATAACATGAGGGATATTTATATAATTGACAAAGGAATTGATACCATGACGCGTCTTGCAATGATTCGCAAAGGAGATCAAATAATTAAAAAAGGTAATAAAACGATTGAAAAAGGTAACAAAATGATAAAAAAGGGTAGTAAAGAACACAAATGTGGATGGGAAAAATGTCGAAATTGTTATGAAGAAGTTGAAATATTAAAACATAAATGTTATATGCAATGGACACGACAAAAAGGCGTAATATGTGAGACAATAATAAAAGACGGTGATAAAAAATATAAAGTAAAAGGTTGTCAAAATTGTGATAGAAAAGGTTGTACAGCAACTTTTCCTGATGAAGCAAACAAACAAACAAACAAAGGAAAAGAAACATTATCACTTAAAGACTTGGAAAAGGGTTCTGGATATACCATAACAGATTTGCAACTTTTTACTAAAGACGGTAAAGAAAAAGCTGTAGTTATATTGAATAATGAATTTAAGTTGTTTTTACCAGATAGATTAGCTAAAAGGGGTGATGAACTAATAGGCTATATGTTAGAATATGATTTAGTTATGACTTATAATGGTTTGATAGATGTGAAAAATAAAGCAGGATTTACATATAAAACTCATGATATTAAATTTAAAAAAATGGACAAACATCCTGATGAAACAAACAAATATCCTGATGAAACAAACAAACATCCTGATGAAACAAACAAACATCCTGATAAAACAACCAAAAGAATAAAATATCACATTTATCAATGTAAAGATTGTAAAAATTGTGTTAAAAACCGTTGGATGATGAAGAACCGTTTAAATGCCTTAAATGCGGATCTAAATACCATACAACTAAATGTTCTTATACAGAAAAATATTTATTCTTTGATTATGAAGCAATGCAAGAAACAGACAAACATATCGCTAATTTAGTTATATCTCACGATTTTAACGGAAATGTTAATTCTTTCGAAACCAACGAAGATTTTTGCAAATGGTTAATTTCTAGAGATCATAAAGGATATAYAGCTATCGCACATTWTTCTAAAGGTTATGATTYTTACTTTATTTTAAAAYATTGCGTTGAAAACGGTATTAAACCTTACTGCGTATATAACGGATCTAAAATAATGTTAATGGAAATAAAACCAATTAATTTAAGAATTATTGATAGTAGTAATTTTGTTCAAGGACCTTTAAAAAACTTCCCTAAAACATTCGGCCTAAAAGAACTTAAAAAAGGATATTTTCCACATTTCTTCAATACAACGGAAAATCAGAACTATATTGGAAAAATACCTGATACAAAATACTATGGTGTTAATTCTATGACAGAATGTAAAAAATGTTATGGTAACAGTAAGCCAACGAACTCTAAGGTATGCAGCGATGATGGTTGCCGCAATTACTTTTTAGAATGGCATATACAAAAAAGAAAAGAGAACTACGTGTTTGATTTGAAAAAAGAACTTTACGAATATTGTAATTCTGATGTTGACATATTAAGAAATGGATGTGTTGAATTAAGGAAACAGTTTCTAGAAATTGCTAATATAGATCCTTTCAGATATATTACTATTGCTGGTGTTTGTATGGCTATATATAGATCAAAATATATTAAGAAAGATACAATAGCTGTTGTTGATAATCTGAAAAAAGATCAATATTCTCAACAAGCAATTTCTTGGTTAAATAGTCTGAACAATCCTGATATCAATCATGCATTAAGCAATGGTGAAGCGTGGCAAAGCCACTCCAGAGCCAAAGGCGAAGTGAAAATATGTGGATCAAAAGTTGACGGATTTGATAAAAAATCCAAAACTGTTTACCAATATCACGGCTGTTTTTGGCATGGTTGTACAAAATGTTATAGTTCAGATTTTATTAATAATAAAAATAAAACTAGTATGGAAGATCTTTATGAGAAAACAATAGAAAGAAGTGAGCAAATAAAAAAGGCTGGTTATAACTTAATAGAAATGTAGGAATGTGAGTGGACAAAGTCAAAAGAATATAAGAAAGAAATGAAACAAATTGAAGAAGAAATTAAAAAATTGGAAGAACTTAATCCTAGAAACGCATTCTTTGGTGGAAGAACAAACGCAACAAAATTGAGAGTAAAAGGAAAGAAATTGAAATATATTGATGTTTGCAGTTTATATCCAACAGTACAATATTTTGATGATTATCCAGTCGGACATCCTACTAAAATATTCAAACCTCGTACGTATGATCCAGAATGGTATGGATTAATAAAATGTGCAATTTTACCACCAAAAGGTTTGTATCACCCCGTTTTACCTGTTAAGAATAAAACCAAATCTGGTGATGAAAAACTAACATTTCCATTATGCCAATTGTGCGCAAAATTAAATAATCAAAAAGATAAATGTTCTCATACGGAATCTCAAAGAATTATCAGAGGGACCTGGTGTACCAACGAAGTTAAAAAAGCAATTGAAAAAGGTTACAAAATAATAACTATTGATGAGGTTTGGCATTTTTACGAAAAATCATCAAATTTATTTAAAGGATATGTGAAAGCATTTATGAAAATTAAATTAGAAACAAGCCCTTGGCAGGATGATTTTGAATCAGAAGAAGAATATAGAAAAGCTGTAAAAGAAAATCTAGGTATCGAACTGGGTAAAATAGAAAGTAATCCTGGAAAGGGAGCTGTTGCGAAAATATGCTTAAATTCCTTATGGGGTAAATTTGGACAAAGACAAAATATGGGTGCAACAGAATATGTTACAGATGTTAAAAGGTTTTATGAAATTTTATTAGACGAGAAACTTGACAATATACATATAAACGATATAAATGAAAATATGTTACAAATTGATTATAAGTTAAAAGATTGTTATGTTGAAAATAATTTCAATACCAATATATTTATAGCTGCTTTTACAACTGCAAACGCAAGACTAAGATTGTACGAAATGTTAGATAAATTGGGAGATGCAGTTGTATATTATGATACTGATAGCGTTGTATATATAGACGATGGTAAAAATACTATCAAAATCGGCTGTTTATTGGGAGAATGGACAGACGAATTAGGTAAAGGCGTATGGATAATAGACTGGATATCAACAGGTCCAAAAAGTTATTGTTATAAAACAAACACAGGTAAAGTTGTTTGTAAAATAAAAGGATTTACGTTAAATTATGAAACTTCCAAAAAGATTAATTCCGATAGTATAAATAATATTTTAGAAAAGAAAGCCTGGCGAAGCCAGTCCAGAGGCGAAGCCGAAGACAGTAAAATCAGTACGCAATATAATCGAATTACCAGAGATACTAAAACCAAGGAACTCTTAAATAAAATAGAAACAAAAGAATTTGGTTTTGTTTATGACAAGAGAGTTATTCTAGAAAACTTTGATACAATACCATTTGGATATTAATTAGATTATAATTGCGTTTTTTATCCTTCAAGAACTAGTGGGAAACTTTTCCTTGATTATAAGAGACATATTCGCCATTTTCTAGGGTGTCAACCATTTAGGTTGACACCTTATCTTCTTCTGATTTTTCACACAACTGATAGAGATAAATCTTATCTTCTTTATCTATTTTTGACATCAGTAGTTATATAATTATCCTAATCCTCCATTATTACTACAACAGAGTAAAATCTTTGAAAAATGTTAATTTTAAAATATACCTTAAAAACGGGGGTGTTAAACACAAAAAAATTAATGTTAAAAAAGTATTTTATCGTTTTTATCCATCGTATCACTTTTTAGACACAAATTGGAGGTTTGATATACAAAGAGTAACTGAAGACTTGTAAAGGTTTAATTTATTTATTAGAAATTCTAAATATTTTGAATTTTCAAAAATAGATAAATTGCATGCAGAAGAGTTGCCTGCTAAAATCGAGTTCAAGAAACCTTTATGACCATGCCGTTGTATGTTGCACTAGCACACCGAGAGATGGCGCGAAGTTAAATGTCAAAATAAAGTCGCTGTCTGTCAACCTGATAACCAACGTTGTCACTGTTGTATTCATCTTATCACAAGTTTTTCGAATAAAACAAAAAGCAAGGTATGTACCTTTTTTGTTAATGTTTTTAGGTAAATGTCTTTTGTCTTTCCAATAGATGGTGAGATTAAAACGGTGCTCCGAGATGAGTGTATTGAAAAATATAAGTATGAGGATGGAAGGCTTGCCAGAGACAGAAGTGTGGGTCGCACTAATGAAGACGGCCGTTTCATTTAATTCCTTAAATTCGTTCTACGACGGATTCTATTACAAGAATGATATTGGGATCAACAACATCAGTAGAAACCAGTTAAGCCTTCGAGTAAGTGGAGGCAGAAATGTATTGTTAAAATTCGGTTCTCCAGGGACAATGGAGGAATTTTGCAAAAGTATCAAGTAAGAACAATTTCTCTATTTAATTTATAACAGTTATAAGGTGTCTAACAAACCACAAGGAAAAAAATATCTATTAAATAAAATGGGTGTGAATTTAAAGTAGCACTATAGTATTAAAAATAACATCTTGCGCTTGTTATAACCCACACAATACCTACAATACAAACTGTATTTTTTTGCAGTTACATAGAAGGGATTGATGCCCCATGTCCTTCTCCAGTCTCATCGCCCACACCATCGCCACCAGAAAGCACGCCCTCTCTATCTCCACTATCGTCGCCCACACCATCGCCACCAGAAAGCACGCCCTCTCTATCTCAACCATAAAGCTCATCATGAACAAAATAATAGATAAATATTAGGTTATTACTTTTGAATAAATATTTAAAAAAAGTTTGTTGGAATTTTATTATTATAGAGGAATCACGATAAAAAACGTTTCGCTGAAGTGACCTAATAGAAAAAATGTGCTGAACAAGCCCATATGGTTTTGCTTTTTTAAAAATACCTTCGAAAACAAAGTCAAAATGCTTAAAAAAACAAARTGTTCTGAAGGGGGCTTCTAACTATGGTGTTTTCACGATTTTTTCTGCTTTTCTGCTTGCCCTTGAAAATCGGGGGTATTTTCACGATTTTTTTTTGCTTTTTTTGTTTACCCTTGAAAATCGGGGGTGTTTTCTATTTATCCTTGAAAATCGGGGTGTTTTTGTGCTTTTTTTAGATTACCTTGAAAACCGGGCTATTTTGCTTAATATTTTTACTTTTTTTAGATTACCTTGAAAATCRGGTTATTTTGCTTGATATTTTTTTACTTTTTTTAACTACCTGGAAAATCAGGGTGTTTTGCTTGGTATTTTTAGCTTTTTTAACTACATTGAAAATCATGGTGTGAGGTGTGCCTGATTTTCGCAATATTTTCTGCTTTTCTATTTACCCTTGAAAATCCGGTCATTTTCGCAATATTTTCTGCTTTTCTATTTGTCCTTGAAAATTGGGTCATTTTGCTTGAAATATTTACTTTTTTTAGATTACCTTGAAAACCGGGCTATTTTGCTTAATATTTTTACTTTTTTTAACTACCTGGAAAATCGGGGTATTTTACCTTAAAAAATGAGGTGTGCATAGGGGCCCTCCTTGTAGTTACTCTTAATGATTATAATTTTTATTGAATTACATAACCGAATTTGAATAACGATTTAAATTTTCTGCATTGTTCTTTATATTTGATGCTGTACAAAAAGTCCAGAGAGCAAGAAAAAACTGAAACAATTAATTTAATATTTATACAGAGTGGTTATAAATGATTTTCATCCAGCCAGCTTTGGAATTTTTTTGCATGTAACTTTATTTGTGCCGCTTTACTTTTTTGAAAGCTCTGGTTCTGTCATTAATGTCACTTATTATTTAATAATAAATTGTTGTTAATTAAACTTTTATTGTTTCAACTAATTTCCAATAATAATAATAAGTTTATTTTCGAAGTGGACGCTTAGTAAACGGCGATTTTTTAATTATGACTTAAAATAAGTACCTAGGTACCCCTATTTTCGTAAAGCTGCATTTTTTATTTTACATGGAAAATTCACAGCTGGCTAGATGAAAATCATTTATAATCACTTTGTAGCATAAAAGTAATTACTAAAAATAAAAGATAAAATACCTCAAAAATTGCAAATATTGTTGCAAAAGTACCACAAGCTTTTAAAGGAACTTGAAGTACTCGAATCGCAGCACTTTTACAGTCTTCCCTTGAAGATTTATTTTTTTCACACTTTTCCTTCATTTTTTTGTAAGGGCAGCAACTTTTAGGAAGTGGGTCTTTCCAATTGTAAGTAATATTACCAAAACCACAACACTGCCACTAAATGTATTTTTTATATTTATTCTTTATTAATTTGATGTGAAACCGAACCTCATATTGTATTCGTTCTACTTCGTCTTTATTCGAAGATGTTCCATTATGGTAATTCTCAAATTTGGAAGCTAATTCACCGTTTATAAATTCAGTCATTCCTATTACTTCTAAAAAAGATAGAATACTCATGATCATTTGGAGAATATGCGAGAACAGCAGTAAAATTCCGTACTAAAATATTTTCATTAAAAAAATTATTTTAGCCAAATAGTAGACTTACCATAATAAGAAGAAATTTTCTGTCACGCATAGAAGCTGCCCCACCTATTAAAACAGTCACAAAAAGCAAACATCCTGTACCTATTACAATGTATCCTACATTGAATGCTTGGGTCAAACCAGTAATGTATGAAATTCGACACAAATGTAAAATTCCAATGACCAACAAAACAGTTGCAAGTATCTAAATTTGTCATTTAATGTATGAAAATAATCTCATTATTCACTCACCCCAAGAGCCACGTTAATAACAATTAAAACGAACCTCATGTAGAAAAAAACTGAGAGCAAAATGAGTTTTGTCAAAATGACACTAAAAAATTGGTTCAACCATTGTTTCATGAATATTATACTTAGACACGCATTTCCACTTCTGGTAATAATTGTTATTGATAAGTGATGCTTTGATGCTTGCTTCATTAGTGGTTGTTGTGGGTTTGCATATGATTTACTAATACATACCACAATAGTCGTGTTTGAATTTTATTCTAAATAAGACTATCTTATTATGAAATACGATGCTTTAGGGAGTTTATTAAATTAATTAAGGGCTGGAAATGAAATGCGGAATAACTTGTAGGTTTAGAAAGCTAAATTTTGCTAAACACAAAAAATGTTTGAAGTTTTCTTTGTTAACATCAAAAAATTAAAGAATTTAAAAAAATAAAAATATTAGGGGAAAATGAAATTACGAAATGAAGGAATTAAAAAAAAGTGTTAAAAATCGTCTTAAAAATAAACAAAAAGATTTGTTAAACTCTAAATTTATCAAAATTCTAAAAATATTTGGGTGAGTTTTTAATTATTGTCTTTTGTCCAAAAATTTTATTTTGAAATATCGTTATGTTCTAAAGAAAACACTACYTTTTTGATAATGTTTGTTATTAAAATAAAAAAACAATATAGAAACATATAAAAAATATTCGTTAAAGTTAAATAATTTTTTATTTTAGAGAATAATACTAAATATTTTGATCTTGTATAACAAAAATTGTCCTTAAAATTTTCGATATAGCGAGGTTTTACGGTTTTCCTGTAGCTAAATATAAAATTAGAAATTTTGGAAAATTAATGAAGGAGCGAAAAGCAGGACTTTCAGAACCAAATATTATAAATTTTAAAGGTGAAAAAAATAATGCTGTAGCTGCTATCATAGAATTCTAAAGTTAGTAACATTATTGCTTTTTTAATTTTTTTAAACTATTTTTTTTTAATTTGTTTAGTCATTTTTACTTTTTTTAAATTAAATTTGAAATATTTCATATTTATAGAATGAATTATACAAATTTTTAAGTAAAAAAACTATGCATTGTTGAGACAAGTAATAGTTATTTATTCGACGAGTTTGAGTGTAAATCGGACGCTTTATTTCACGAGTGGTTTATCATCCACGAGGTGGAATAAATTAACCAATTTACACTCAAACGAGTTGAATACAACATTTTATTCTTTGAATTAGACTCAACAAGGCTTAAAATTGCTTTAAATCTGTTAAAAATAATCTCACATTTCGTATTGAGAAATGCCAAACAGTTGGCAAAACGTCCTTATACGGGAGAAAAACCGTTAATTTTGACAGTGTCAAAAAATTAAATATTTTTTTTTTGAGAAAATGTAAAGTTTTTGTCTGCTACCTACAGTGTACGTAGTAAAAGAAAATTGTAAAAAATTTAAGTTTTCAAATAATTTTTGTAAATTTTGTGATTTTTTTATTCACAATAAAATAACTTAAAAATAAAATTGAAATAAACATGAAAAATGAAAAATCACCAATAATTTTGAAAATTTGTATAGGGGCCTAGATGTTAATTCTACAACAACTGTTTTTAATAACTTTTTGTCGTATTTGCCATATAAAATGGGATACTCAATTTTGCAAAACTAAAATATTATGTTAGAAATTTAAGTCTTTAACTAAGCAGGGCTGAATCCCAAAAAATAAAAATTTCAATAAAAAAAATTGTATCTTTTACAAGAATCGTTTCACCTATGCGTGGACACACTGTATATTATTTAAGTTGCATACAATATTTTAGAATAAATTAAATAAATGTATTTTACACATTTTATTACATTTCGAAACTCGCAGTTCCAGCCTATTTAAACCCCTTAATTTTAATTTTTCTTGGCATCATTTAAGAAATACCTTTTCATAAATATCTTAAAACTTAAATGTTGCATTGTTGCAATGGGTGTCTGAGTTATTAATTATTGTCTTTTTTCCAAAAATTTATATCTTTAAATATCGTTATGTTTTAAAGAAAACACTACTTTTTTGATAATGTTTGTTATTAAAATAAAAAACAATCCAGAAACATATAAAAAATATTCGTAAATAAGTTAAATAATTTTTAATTTTAGAGAATAATACTAAATATTTTGATCTTGTATAACGAAAATCGTCTATAAACTATTGATCCTTAAAATTTTCGATGTTGCGAGTTTTTACGGTTTTCCTGTAGCTAAATAAAAAATTAGAAAATTTGGGAAATTAAAAGAGCAAAAAGACGACTTTCAGAACAAAATTTTATAAATTTAAAGGTGAAAAATAAGTTTTACATAAAATCCTAAAAATAAAGAACGTAATAATATTTTCATAGAGTTAACAAAATATGTCAAAATTTATTTATTTTTCCTCTTTTATGTCCCAGAAATAATGCTGTAGGTGTTTTCATAGTATTCGAAAGTTATTAATATTATTATTTTTCTACTTTCTTTAAACAATTTTTTTTCATATCTGTTAATGCATTTTTACTTTTCTGAAATTCAATTTTGGAATATTTCATACATATTGAATTAATTATACAAATTTCAGAGTAAAAAAACTACGGTTTTCCTGTAGCTAAATAAAAAATTAGAAAATTTGGCAAATTAAAAGAGCGAAAAGCACGACTTTCAGAACAAAATTTTATAAATTTTAAAGGTGAAAAATAAGTTTTACAAAAATATTCTAAAAATAAAGAACGTAATAATATTTTCATAGAGTTAACAAAATAT